GAAGCCGTTGGGGCCCCCCAGACCATTGGGCAGCCGCGCGGCGTGGCTGCTGCTTCCCAGGCTCACCGGTGGCGGCGGGTACTCGAAGCGACTGCGCTGTTCCACGGCGGCGGCGGCGGCGGCAGCGGCGGCTGCGCTCAGGCCGTAGCGCTCCAGGCCGGACGGGGCCGCCAGCACCGCAGGTTTGCTGGACCCATCTACGTGGTTCAGCTGTTGCTGTGGCTGCTGCTGCTGTGGCTGCTGCTGTGCAGCGGCCGCTGCCGCCGCTGCTGCCGCCGCCGCCTCCTTAGCCGACAGGGCCACCGTCTTGACCCCGACGGGCGGCGGCGGCCCGGGGGAGCGGCCGTCCTGGAAGCAGCCATGCGCCCGCTTCAGCTGGCGCGCGGTCTCGATCACGAACTCGATGCGATCGGCGCCCTCGTAGTTTACGCAACCGCGGCATACGGGTTCCGAGAAGTCCCAGATCATGGCCCAGGGCATACGAGGCAGGTCGCACAGGTAGCAAGATTGTCTCCGGGACGAGGACACCTGCGCCGCCGACATGATGCCAGCCCTGGGGAAGGTGGGCCCCCGCCCGGGCTGTCTCCGCGGCGCCTTCTCCTCGGGGAGGACTGGCCGGCTGGGGAGTGAGTCCGGCTGCGGGGGAGCGAGGGGGGGCGAGAAAGTTCTGCCCCTGGGGCTGGAGGGAGCGCGAGTCTCCACCGCCGGCGCAACACTTCTCCTCCTGGGCTCTGCCACCTGGGCAGCGGACGAATTCAGCCCGCTACTCGCCCCCACCTCCTCCTGCGGCTGTCTGGTCCGGAGGGGAGCTCGGGCGCCTTCTTCCTGGTGCCGCGGACCCGAGCTGGAAGCTCCAGGCCCGGGGGGAGGGGGCGAGGGTGCCCGGTGCCGGCCGCCGTGGGCTCTTGGCCCCCTCCCCGGAGTGGCTGGTGGGTGGAAGCTCGAAAGGGACTCTCTTCCTCTCCCTTGAGGGTCCCCCCTACGAGCTGCGTCCTCTCCCCGCCAGGCTCCCTGGGGCGAGGGCTAGAGGGTTCAGTGCCACCCGGTGCCCGGGTCCAATCTTGCTGAAGTCGCGGCTTTCCTGGAGGGCCGGGGCAGGGAGGGGGTGAGAACCGAGAGAGGAGACTCGCCCCTCCGCAGCGTCGGCTGTTCCGCTGGCGGCTGCTGGACTTGCACGGCCACAGCTTCCAGGACGCACAGGAGCAGAGAGGAGCGCTCGCACGCAGGCTCCCGCCGCCCCCAGACCAGGCCGGCGCCCGGACCGCCGCGGCTGGCGGCGCTCACGTTGGCTGCAGGGCACTCGCGCGGCGCCTGGGCACGGGTCGCATCCCTTCCCGCTTGCACTCGCCCGGAATGTGGGGTTGTGATTGTTACTCTACGTTCCGGAGGCGCGACTCGGCGCTCCCGCTCGCGCTGCGGCTCGCGCTGTCCCCGGCTTGGCCGCGCGGGATGCCGCCCAGGCGGAGCGCTGACGTCACCACCATGCTCTGCACCAGTTCTTCCCCCCCACCCCCCCTTTACACTTCCTCTGTCTGTGGAGCCCACTTGTTGCTCGGGAAAGGCGCATGCGCGGCAGGACGCCCAGATTCCTCCCTGTCGGCCCCTCCTCCGCGCCTCCGCCCTCCCCTCCCCCCTCGCCGTGTGTGTACAACAGCTGAGACTCGGCGAGCTAATGCTGCAAGTCCAGGGTTGGGGGGGTGGAAATTAAACAAGACGATGACCTTTCCTTTCCGAGCCCGGCTTTCCCGAGTAAAAACGCATTTAAAAACCACAAGCGCATTTCCGATCCCGCTTCCCACCCGACCTCGGGCAGTGAATTTAAATGTCCTGTTTCAAATTTTCGCTGTGAATTTCATATAGAATATTACCCATTTCATCTGCAATTAAACCTTTCCTCCAGCCCCCCCCCCCTCCCCCGCCCCGGCATGGCTATTACATTCATTGCTAACAACTACTGCTAAAACACCTGCAAAATTCGCTGTTTTCCATTCTTCCAGAAACTGCCTTTTCGATTTGTTTTTGTGTACTAGTCTAGGAACCTGAGCTTCAACGACGGAGCTAAATGAATTCCGGGTGAGCTACCCCTCCCCCCAGCCGCAGTCTAAAAATTTTGGCTGAATGTCTAAAGAAGCTACGAGCACCCGGAGGCCTTTAAGGAAAACAGTCAACTGGCTGCACACAGCTGCAGTTGGGGGCAGGGAGGGAGAGCTGCTGGAGAGGCCAAACAGGTGAGTGGTTTTTACGGGTTTGATAAAAGAAGGTGGGGCAGATTTAATAATACTGATATCTCTTTGTAAAGCACAGCACAATTTACAAAGTTATTTCTCACGTGCTGTGATTTCATTCCATGGTGCCAGAAGGCTAAGCAAGCCCATGGTTTCTTTTCTGCTTACAAGATCACTGCTCCTCATACTGCTTATTGCCGAACAGATATGTTGCTCTAGTTGGGGCATTTCAACTGATTCTTTTAAATACTGGGCCTGGGGTGTTTTTTGTTGTTGTTACTGTTGTTATTTTGCCTTTTCCCCCTCATTAAAAACTGAGATAATCCTGGGTAGGGATGGAGAAAGGGAGGCTATATGGGAAATGGAGGTTCTGGAGTCTGGTAGACCAGGATGGAATTTCCTCTTCATCACTTACAGTACGACCTCACTTAACATCATCAATAGTTCTATGACCTTAAGCAAAACCAAGTTTACCATAGGCTAATTGTTATAAATGAGAGTTGGGTTCCTACAGTATTTCTTTATCAACATCACTGTTATAAAGAAATGACCTTGAAAGCAATGTCTTTATTGGAGGACCTGCTGTACTGGCTTTGTGACCTTGAACTTATCGTCACATAACCACACATCTGCAAAATGGGATAATAGCTCCCAACATATTAAAACTGTTTGAAATTTCATTTTGTTTCTTGTCACAATAGGAGGTAAGTCCACTGAGGCTTGCTGTGAGCCAGGCGCTGGTAGGTGGTTTACTTGTATCATCATTAAACCCTCAATATTGTCTACAGGTAGATTCTATTATTAACGCTGATTTCTAGGCTCAGAAAGTTAAGAGGTTAAATAACTTGCTGAAGGTCACGTGGCCATTAGAGAGGGAGCTGAGATCTGAATCCAGTAAATCTAATTTGAGATGTGACTTTGACAAGCTTGGGTTCTCAGAGGTGATTTGGGGTGCTCAAAATTTCCATCAGCCCCTCCCTTATTCTTTATTACATACAATCTCCTGTAAAGTACTATGCAAATACACCTTTATAGCCAACTCCAGTCCTCCCCTTCCAAACAGATTGAGCCACTGAGTTCTTCCAAATACAGAAGTTGTGGATCTGCCACTGCCACAGACTGTAACATAAATCACCATACAGTATGCAGAGCACAGTGCCAGGCTCATAGGAACCTGTTGGTAAGTATTGTGTATTATTAGTATTGATATTAATGTTAGTACTATTGCTAGTTAACAGGTTAAAGTACTTTGTAAATTGCATAAACTGTAAAGAACATTCTTACTATTACTACTAATTGTAATAAAGTTCAGTTGAAGCAAGAAGTATTTATTTTTATTTTGACCTTCAGAGCCTATTCCCCCATCCAGCACTCGATCTCCCACTCATTCTGGGCCCTAGGTGCGAAGGAAGAGGCGTTTTTAAGGATAGGGAGAAAGGGGAGAAGAAGAGCCCTAGGGAGCCCCTCTTTCATCTCAAAGCAGCCAGATTTCTGTTTTTGCAAAACAGTGAGCTCACTGTGCACTCCCCAACAATAATAAACTTTCCCTGGCCTGGCTGGCTCTGGGCAGTGGTTCCTCTGCAAAGAGCCGCTCCAGGAACCTTGCCTCACCCTCCCAGACTTCAGCCCTCCCCACACCACAGCTACCCTGGAGTGAGTCAAAACATAGGGCTGGGAAATGGAGTGACAGCCCGGTCAGCCCAAAACTCAGGGCTCTTTGCTTTGGCTAGATTGGTCTCCCCATTTCTTTACATTAATATTTGTACAGCCCATCCCTTTATTAAACCAAAAATACTGAGGATTAGCAACTTAGCCCCAACCCTCTAGCCAGGCTGCTAGAGAAAGCAAGTTGGATTCTCTCATAGTGTTATGTTTGATATGCGCAAACACGTCTCCATCTCCTTGTCTGTCTTCCTCTTCCCTGTTACTAAAGGATACACACACACACACACACACACACACACACACACCAACTTACCAAGTTATAAATAAACATGCATTTAAACAAACTTCCATTAAAGTCTCCTAACTCTTTAATTTAAAAAGCATAGCTCTCTTGATACCCTTCCCGCCCTCAAAAAATAAGCATCCTTTATGGAGATAAATTTTGTCTCCATTGCTTGTCTGAGATGGCCCTGTTTAGGGGTGTGCCAGCGATTGTGAGAGGGAAGAACACCGAGGTTTTGGAGATAGATTTTCCCTGAATCCCACATGACAATACTGTGTCCGCAGTGGGAAGGAACGGGCCAGTGGGAGAACCAGAGGCGCTGCTCAACTTAAGACATCAGATGGAGCGGGAGGGACTACTCTGGCGCTGGGGTCTGAGAGGCCAGCAGAGCCAAGACTCAACCAGGAGCAAGAGGAAAGAAAGGCCTGCAGCCGTCCCTTAAGGTCTTTTCTATGGTGACTGCTCCCCCCGCCCACCCCCACCCCCGGCTTGCGATCTGAGCTGGCACCCTCAGAGAACCCCGCTCTTAACTGGAACACAAGGTCAGCTCTCCACTTGGCCTTTCCGGAGGCCACAACCCGACATTAGGGGTGAGAAGGTCGCAGCGCACCCAGGCACTTCTGAGCTCCCTGCAATCTCTCTCCTCCTCCCGCCCCCGCCCGTTGTGGCCGAGATGGATCTGGCGGGGGACTCAGGCCTGGCATCCCTGCAGCCAGCTGGCTGGGTCTTCCAGGAGGCCCGGGCTGAACCTCGCGTCACCCCCGCTGCAGCGCGCGCTGCCAAGCGCTCGGGCAAGAGAAAGCCCTTTTTTGGTAACACTCAGCCCTGCCCTGAGTAGGACCCGGTTCTTCTGCCCGCTAGAGCTAGAGCCGCCTCCCGCTCAGCGGCCTCGGAGTAGAAGAAAACAAACGTCTGGGTTGGGCGCTCCTCCGGTCTCTGTAAGGGCCCCCATCCCGGTTGCCAGGAACGCCCGAGGCTGTGGGGTGAGGGAATCGAGTCAGCATGGTAATTTACACATTTCCTCCGGGGCGGGTTCGGGGGCGGAAGTATTTGCCGTTTCCTAAAGGATTAATTCTGGTATTAAAATTTTTAAAAAGTATTAGCTTAGGCCAGGACGTAGGGTTACGCAAGAGCCACTCGACCGTGAAATCCCAGGAACAACGTGATTCGCTGAGAACCTCCGGGGAGGGGAGACCGCGCCACCCGCTAAGACCTGCCCAGCCTGGGGCGCGCCGGCCGCCGGGCGCTCCCTTCAAAACTGGGTGGAAGGAAAAGGAGGACGTAGTGGTTGGTTGGTGCTGGCGCAGCAGCCGCAGCGAGCGATCAGATCTCTGACTGCTCTCTTCCTGAAGGGGCGGGAAGCAGAGCAGGGAAGTGAAGAGACGCGGGGCGGATGGGGGTGGGGGTGGGGGGGATCAGGGGGAGTCGCGTCTGGTTCCTGCTTCCTCCCCGTTTCCCTTCCTTACCAGCGTGCCAGGGCCCGGGGGAGCCCAGCGCTGTCCTCAGCAAAAGCTGATTTTTTATTTTTTTTTTTTTAGGTCCAAAAATAAAGAAGGCCTGGAATGAGCCTCCCAGGGACCAGGCCTAGAGGAAGCTCCAGACAAGGGTGCCATTCACTGACCCGGTTGGGTTAAAACAAACACCCACACTCCAAGAAGGGGGGTAGCTGGGAAGGAGGGCTTGGAGGGCCAGAGTGGGTGGAGAGCCTGGCTGGGACTGTCAAGGCCACAGGTGCACAGACCCAGGGACCCTCCACCCCACCCCGCAGGCTCATGGGCCTCGGCTGGGTGCAGGAGTGCCAGTGGGTTCCCAGCGGCCCGCGCCAGAGTTGGGGATTTCCACCCGCCAGCTTCGGAGACCCGTCGCCGCCGGCGCTTTCCTGCTGGGGCCGCCAGAAGGCGGGGCCTCAGAACGGGAAGCCCTCCCAGCGGCCTCAAGGTCCCTAGGTCAAGTCTGTTAGTGGCGGGCAGGGATCGCTGCAGTCCCTGGTTGGGGTGGATGGACCAGGACCTCCAAATATTTTGACTTGCCTGAGCTGGGCGGTTCAACCCGAAACTCAGGAGGAAGGGAGGACACTTAGGACTGAGTACATATTTACATGACCTTGTTCCACTTGGAGTTGGCTGACCCTAATGGCTGTTTGACCTTGAGCAAATGACTTGAACTTTCGTCGGTTTCTCAGTCTGTAAAATGGGAATCATTACACTGCCTCCTTTGCCTGACTCATTGGTCTGTGTGAAAAATACAATATTATAATGTACTTACTTAATCAAATGTAAGAGATTATTATGAACAATGTAATGACCAACATTTGTCTAGAGCTCTGAAGTGCATTCCCAGACATTATCTCACCAATCCCCACAGCAGCCCTGTGAGGTAGGTGTTACTTTCATCACTCTCCAGTACAGGTGAGGAAAGCAGGTCCAGAGCTGGTCAACAATGACTGGAAACCAGGTTCTCTGGCTCTAAACCCAGCATTCTTTCTTCTACCTCACCGGTTGCTAGCTTTTTTTTTTTTTTTTTGGTGGTGGTGATGGTGAGCGGAAAGATCCCAGATGCGGCTATGAAATGGCAAGAAAGTGAAATGCCTCTCTACAGGAGTATACAGATGAAGAATGCCAGTGCTGTCCCAACAGGTACAAGGTTATGCACAAACTAGCACCAGTTATTTTGGAGTTAAAATCAATTTTCAGGTAGCTTTGAGTAAAATTGTGTAGCCATGCTTCCCTGGCATCCCCTGAGACTTCTCTCTCCCTAAGTAGAAGTGATGGAGAAAAATCTGAAGCCTTAGAACCCACTGAAGTATTTAGGAACTTTAGTGAATTGCTCTTATCGGGGATGACTGCATCTTACTTTATTTTTTTAAATATTTTTATTGAATTTTAGAGAGAGAGGAAGGGAGGAGAGAGAAACATTGATAGGCTGCCTCCTGCACACCCCCTATTGGGAATGGCGCTAGCAACCTGGGCATGCATGTGCCCTGACTGGAATCAAACTGGCAACCTTTTGGTGCACAGGAGGGTACCTAACCAACTGAGCCATACCTGCCAGGGCGGGATGATGACTGCATTTTAGATGTCCACACCTAAGGAGGACCCAGGCTAAATGATGAAGGGTAGGAGGAACGTGGACAGGGTGCATTTATGATGGAAGGAACCTCTTCCAGACCCGGAGGTCATATGACACAAGTAACAACCCTTTGTTCTCACCGAATTCAGGTCATACCTACTGTGCGAACACCCACCGTCCTACACATGAGCTGGAGACCACTTGATGACTATGGCAGGCTGCTGCCCTCAAAGCATTTCTAGTCTAGGGGACGCCTATAACCCTGACAGTCAAACCTGGCCTACCTGGTAGCTCAGTTGGTTAGAGCATCATCTTGATAGGCCAAGGTCGCAGGTTAGATCCTGGTCGGGGCACATACAAGAATAAACCAATGAATGCATAAATGAGTGGAACAACAAATCGATGTTTCCCCCCCCCCCCCTTTATCTTTCTCAAGTCAATAAATAATTAAAAACAAACAAACAAAAAACCTGGCTTACCTATCACTGGAGCTAGAAATTGAGGGAGCAGGTGGCCCCCAACCCTGACTCATCTAGAGGACCACCATGCTTTAACCTGAATTTCCCTCTCTGGCCAGATCCAGAGGATTTAAGTCTGATGTGTCCTTAGTGGGTGTGAAACTACCCTCATCACTTACATTTTGTTTCAAAGCTAAAACTTGGCTGCCAGATGGCCTGGTAGGTTTCCATTCCCAACTCCTTACCTTGAGCTTTCCCATTTGCCATCCATCCAGTTATTCAAGTATTTAGTTAGAGAGCACTTTCTCAGTCCTGGGGACTTAATGACCAACCAAGCCAAATTAGCTCCAGCCCCAAATCTAGAAGCTTCCATTTCCTTCTAGATGTCCTAGTTTCCTGATGCAATAGCCCAAAAGTCACTAGAGGCACTTATTCAACACTCCCACCAGCCACATGACTGATTTAGAGCCATCTACTTATTCTCTCTGGGCCTCAACTTCCTTCCCTGTCAAGTGTTGATATTAAAACCTATCCTCCTTCCTTCAGGGGCGCATGTGAAAATTCTGTATGCTAATGCCTAGGGCTTTAGAAAGGTGGCCCTTGTCAAGAATCTCTTCCAGCACTAAGCCCTTCTTTGTAAAAAAGAAATAGCTGGAAAGTGAGGCTGGTGCTGAGGCCTATCCACACCCTTCATCTTGCTCTTGGTGGGTTTCTTCCTGAGGTGGCCAGCCTGGCATCTCTGTCCTTCTAGGCTGAAGGACAAAGAAGCAGTGACTACCTGGTACCTAAGCACTAGAGAGAGACAATAGTAAGGCTAGGCTGTCTCCTTCTCATTTCTCTCCTAGGGGGCCAGGACCGAGTGTCCCCAAATCTCTGGTGGTGCTGAAGACTGGAACCGCTGGATCTATTTGGGGCTTTTACTTTTTTGTTTTGGTCAATTTAAGAGAGAAAAGAGGCAATGACCTCTTCCTTAAAAAACAAAACCAGGCAGGAAGTGTGCTTCGCCTGAGTGGCAGGGACTAAGGGTGTAATTACAGGTTTTTGTTCAGCATTTTCATGTAATTAAATCCAAAGGAAAGCGAGAGCCTGGCCTAGGCTTCTTGGATGTAAGGTAGACAAGAGGGGCGTGTGTGTGTGTGTGTGTGTGTGTGTGTGTGTGTTTGCGCGCTGGGATGGGCAGAAGAGGCAAGAGGAGAGAGATGGATTTGCTTTTCAGGCTGAGAAGAAGCGGGGTTCTCGCCTTTATTAATATCTTTCCATTCTTTTCCCAAAAGGTAGCCAATTATTCATCTTTTATTCGATGCCACTGCACTCTCCTTGGTGACATTTCCCAGCCATGCGCAGCCTTCGCGGCACTGATTTCCCTTCAACCGTGGACTCTCCCCCTCCCCACTTTTTCATGCTGCCGCTTTCTGCCTGGCTGCCCACACAATAAACTCGCTGCAAAATCCACAGCCAGCTTGCTGGCCTACAGCGTTTGGATACCAGCGACCTCCGCCGCAGCCGCAAAGTAGTCCCTCCTTTTGTTTTGAACATCTTCTGGCTTTCCCAGATCCGTTTTCCAATATTTCCACCCCGCCCCGCCTTCCCCGCGGCTGCCTCGGTTTCCCAGGGCAAACACGTCTCTGTGCACACGAGCCTGTGGTCTTCAGCGCCCAGAGCGCTCAAAACGGGTCCTAAATCGCGGGGCGCGCGGCCTCCCCTCCCCTCCCGTCGCCTCTCCCTCCCCCAGCCCTCGTTGTCCCTCTGACGTTTCCTGGACGTTGGGAACTGGCAGCAAGAATGGACGCACTGTCTCTGCTCACATTCTTCAGGGCAGGAAACCTGACCCACCCCAAACGACGCGCTTCAAAGGAAGGGCACTTGCATTTTCCGGGAGGGCGGGCCTCTGCTAGGGTTAGCTGGGCTGGCCTCCGGCACCCCACTTCGTTTCCCCTCCCCCACCAGACCCACCGATTACCACCCCCCCACCCTGACGCCCCCTTCACCTACTCTTCCCAAGAACAGATTGTTTATCAGAACGGGCAGCCAAGAAGCCTACTCCTGTTTCTAGCCTCTGCCAGATTAATCACAGTTGGGAAAGGCACACAACTTGCTGTGTTGGGGCGGGGCGGAGGAGGGCGGGTGGAAGGGTGGTTAAAAGGAAAGACCAATAATTCTGACATTTGACAAGCTGACCAAATTGGTGTTACCTTTCCCCTCCTTTCTTTTAGCAAGTCAGGCAGAGGACTGAATTATATTTCATTCCCACTCCCTCTGCCCCTGCACCCCACCCTCCCCTCTCTAAGTCTTCGTCTTGATGCTTTAACAGTACTGACTGGCTTTTAATTCTGATTAACATTCTCATTCTCAACTGAGGGGTGTGTGTGTGTGTGTGTGAGTGTGTGTGTGTTGAGGGCTAGAAAGACACATTCACAAACCTGACTGCCTGACAAATCCCCCCTTTTCATCCTTCCCTTTGAAATGACATCAAGATGGAAGGGGGGGGGGGAGTGGGGATGAAGAGAGGAGGCATGGAAAAAAGAGAGGGAGGGGGAAGCAATTTATGTGCTTTTCTAAGGCAGCTAGTAAAATTCCTAAGGGAGAACAAATGCCAAAATGGACTGTCTTGGTGTATTTTAGACCCGATCATCAGGGTGAATCATGTCAGGGCTTTGCATTGGACCCGCAGCCTGGAGGCTTAGGGACAGGCATACAAAACATCCCTGTGTCTGGGAGGTGCCCTTCTGAAGGCGGCAGGAGATAGGTATTTGCTCTCGCCAGTTTCCTCTGCATCAGGATTTTTTTTTCTGAGATTCATTGCAAGATGCCTGTTAAAACACACACACACACACACACACACACACACACACACACACACGGCTGATAAAGAAAAACCAGGGATAGAAAATGCCCCATAAAACATGGCCCCCAAAGGGAAGGTGCAAAACCCATTTGATCCAAGATATAGATATCTCCACCCTGGATTGTTTTTTCCCTTTGCTTTACAACTCTGCAGACATCAGGTTAGCAAAAGGTAATAAATAGTCCTTGCACAGCAGGGTCTGGACTAGTGAAAACAGTTTACTGAAATTAATGGGCCTCGCCTGAACCAAAACCTCCACTTTGGAATTAATGCCAGACATAGTTTTCCTGAACTCTATCCAACTGCCTAAGCGGCAGACAATTTTTGTTCTATTTGTGCTGGAAAATAAAGCCCGGGCCCTTGATCTCAGTGTAGATTCTAATTTTTTTTTTTTTTTTAAATTCAGCACAGTGAACACTGCCAATTTCCAGTTTCTGCTAGTAGAAGCTCTTGTGCTCTGGGCTGTGCGTGACAGTGTGACAACCAGAAGTTATCTGGTAAACTTTCCACTGAAAACCATCTTCAGGCTCCCTCCCTCCCCATCTGTGGCCTCAGAGCTTTCACCACAACACGGCGAGATTCAAGAAAGACTCCAGAAACGGGTTGGGTCCTCAATAACCCTCTTTCCCAAGGCTCTTGGAAAGGCTGGATCTGAACCATGCTGCCTGCATGACCTCCATTCCCCTCCCTCCATGAAGCTGCAAAACGCCCAGCCCATGGTACTCAGGGTGTCTACAGTTCGGAAGCTTTTCACTTTTATTTTTAAGGCTGCAACACACACACACACACACACACACACACACACACACACACACACACACACACACTCGGGCTGTGACACCCAGTGGTTATGGCTGGTACAGCGGAGACCCGTTGCCCTGGCTGTCAGTGTCAGATCTCAGCCTGCCCCCCACCCCACCCCCTATTAATAACCGCCCGGTTGCGGGCAGCCCATGTTCTGGTTTTCATTGTACAGTCTGCACTGGTGACACAGGACATGTGGAAATTTTTGAGAGCACTGCGGTGAATGGCGTGGGGAGGGCGGGTAGCGTGAGCGGGGGGAGGGGGGAGGGAGGGGAGCGAGTTACTTTTTAGCTTCCGCTAAGTACTTGGCAGCTCGCCAGGCCCGGAGGATTCTGGGAAGCGAAAGCCTCCCCAGTATAAACTGCCAGCTTTAAGCAGCCCTGACAGTTCTGCTCCTTCCAAACTTGGCAGCCGTTCAAAGTGCTCTTTCATTTGAAATGCTGGAAGCCTGCCATGTGCAATGCAGATTTGCTGTGCCTGTGCGCAGAAGGAACTGATAAATGCCGTTGCAGTTGCCATGGGGACAGGAGGCTATCAGAATGGCCTTGTGATCCTCAGCCTCTCGGCGCGGCAGGCTCTCGCTCTCCCTCCCTCCGCCCCTCCTCCTTCTCGTCAGTGAGATGGTGAAATAAATGTTCTGGAAAGAGGTTAACCCTCCTCTCCCTGGTTCCGAAGCGGAGAGGAGATTAACCTCTAGGCATTTCCCGGGTCTTAAGTGCCAGCCGCGACCACAGGACTAAGCACCCTCCTGGGCAGGTCACCACCCCCTCCACCCGCACCTCCACCCCCACCCAAACAATCACACACACACACACACACCCGCCCTGCTTCCTGCTCCCTGGGGGCTTGCACAAAGCTGTGTTTTTAATAGAGCTTTTCAGCAAGTCCAAGTGTAAGTCTTTGAGTCATCAAAACCCGGATGTAAACACAGCAGCCCTACATTCTGCACAGTTTGCGTGTATTTTATCTTTTTAATAATATTTTGCTGGCAACTGGGAACTGCAAAGATGCCAGCTACGTTAGCCAGCCGTTTACCTCATGCAGCATCCATCTTAGGGGAGAGTGGCTGCCTGGCCTTTCCAGTTCTCTCTCCGTCCCTAGCCGGAGACGGCAGGAAATCTGCAGGAAATCTGAAGGCATCTTATTGCTGTAGAGGCAACCGAGTCCTTTTAGAACCTCGGGGTTTAGAATGAGCATGACATCACCCTGGGCAACAACAACAGAGGGTATGTTTCTGTCGGAGACAAGACACTGGGTGATCTGAGGTGAAACAGGTCTATCATTTATGCTGAGTGGGAGGGTGCGCCAGTCTGGATGGCCGGCCCCCCATTTTGCGCAAGCTGCTATTTGAAACACAGACTGATTCAATGCACAGAAACAAAATAGCACATTCAGATTTGGTCCATGTTCAGGTCTATAATGCCAACGCTCCGGGTGGCCTGTTTAATGGGGAAAAAATGAAATACTCCATTCCAGCCAAGGCTTACGGAGGCCAAAGAG